ACTTACGGCGTATAAAGTGGTACACGATGGTTCGCCTAGAGGTTCACATATTGGTCAAGAAACTCAATCCTATATGACTATTCTTTGTAATAATTGCAGAGATAAAAAAAAAAACAAAAGCAAAAATTTTTAATAGTACAAATTGAAATTAAACCTAACTTGCAACTCAATAGAGGGTTAAATTCTGCTCCCGTTTATGATTATTAAATAACTTTGGAACTTCCAATAACCGTCACCCGGTTGATTAGAGGCCGGATCTAATAAGAAGGCGGCACAACGTCCCTAACCAGCCTCTAATTAAATTTAACCGGCCCCGTTACCACGTCAGCGTCGAATCTATCAAGGTTTGCATTAAGGAGCGTTTACACTAAACAAATTATAATAATAACGTAAATAACGCCTACCTTTCAAGGTATAACATTTTTAATAATTAATAATTAACATTATAGAAAGTAATCTGAAAACTGTATTCGTTTCCTCGCAAAATATGTATTTACGTATTCAAACATAAAATTTATTATTTACTAGCTTTCGCCCGCGACTCCGTCCGCGTGGAATTAAAAAAACAAAAGTCCTCTACATCTATGCCAAATTTCATTGAGATCCGTTCAGCCGTTCAGGCTACAAACAAATATCCCTCCATCTAAACTTTCGCATTTATAACATTAGTAAATATGAAGTATGATTATGTAGGTTTTACAATATTTTCGACTACGAATAGTGATACGCTAGTTACTGGATCGCGAATATGAAGAGTTGGTTGTTTTTTTTAAAAAGAAACAATAAAGCAAGGTAATTTGTTACTAAAAGCTTTATCCGATAACCGGTCATTCGTATAAGAAATATTTTTTTTATTACATTTTCCTATATATTGTGCAACATTATTTAAAGCAATATCAGATCGGAAGTTGGACGATTGATTTATCTAACTCAATTGAAGCTAAGGTTAACATTTTAATGTGTTTTTTTTTAGGTTTTAAAGATAAAAAAGATTTCCGTATATTCCGGATTAAGGTTAAATAAAACACAAAAAAAACATCTATCAATAGATAGTATAATATAATAATAATTATACACATGATAATTTTTATAAAAGATTTTTGTATGATAACTGTTTTCTTTTTTTTCTACAACAATGACACTTCATTAAATAAGTCTCAATGTCATGACCCGCATTTAAAATGAAATATATTATTTTTTTTTTACTTGCACAATACAAAAATATACATCAATTTTATTCTACCGTTTCTTTTTCTTTTACGATAGTTCAGTAATGAGTATGTTGTACGGTAGGTTTCCATTGTAGAAATACCTGTACAAAAATCTTTTGCTGTCTCTGTTTCTTTTAAAGAGAATGAGTGGAAGGAGGATTGTACATGCATTTCAGTAAAGGATATGCACAGACTTTATATTTTTGAAACCATATAAATCTAGCCTTCTTTTATTTGTTAACAGTTACGAGTAAAGTAAAAGATTATATTATACTTCGGGCTTTGTCCTCGAGATTAGCAGAAGTTCACATGTAGTACCACATACGGTGTCGCCATCTAGCACTGTATTTGAGAAA